TAAGATAGAGATATGTCTATGTCTGTTGAAACGATGATCGGAGATGATGATTGTTCTACCAAGATGATGGGAGATGATGATGGTTCTAACAAATATGGTTGGAGATTACTCTGACCTCCAACGGCTGTTTTGCCAGACAAGCTGGGGTCGTTGTCCCTCGACCCCAGCTTGTCTGGCAAAACCGCTGTTGGACGTAAGAGTAAAAATATTGATGTGATTGTGGTCATCTAACCAAAGATTTTTTATTTTTGCCTCCTAGAACTGGTCTTCAATGATAAAACGAGATGCATTTCAGATAACTGTGTGTTCATTAACTACTTGTTGGCATTCCGATTTTTTACCTTTCATTTACAAATCGATTTATCACAAGTGCGTTTGAATCGACAAGAGCAATATATGCACGAGAAAAACGTCTTTGTGAAAAAAAAAATTCAAGGAGAAACTAATTTTGGAGCGGCATGCGGCCCAAAAATTTGCGGAAGCGGTAATTATTTTTTTTATTGAAAAGTCAATTTCTCCAAGACAGGAGCGGGAAAATACAAAGAACTATTAATCAAATTGGTGTGGCCTAAATGTATAATTCCTATATACATTTTTTGTACATGTATGCAGTATGAACAATTAATATTACAGTCTTACTTCCTGTCAATTCTTATGTTATGGCATTGCACAAGGTCATGCTTTTTTTTCTGACTGTTTATGATCTCTTAACAATCAACCACTGGATGTGTAATGAAAATAAAATAAATGGGGAATGTGTCCATGGGACACAGATGATGCCCCCGCTTGCATATCATGTAAAGTTATAAAGGGTCATAACTGAAGAACTGTAAAAGTGACACAACCCAAATTTGTACTTGATCTGAGTTTTGTGGTAATAAGTATTGTGTATAAGTTTCATAACATTTGGTTGAGGCAAACTTAAGTTAGAAAACGGAAACGAAAAATTCAGCTATTTTCCATTTGTTAACATGCATAACTCTAGAACTGTTAGAGTGGCACCACCAAAATTCAAACTTGATCTTTTTTTTGTGGTAAGCATTGTGTATAAGTTTCATAACATTTTGTTGAGACAAACTACATGTAAACTTCTTAAGTTGGAGAATGGAAACGAAAAATTCAGGTTATTTTTCCATTTGTAAAGGGACATAACTCTAGAATGGTTAAAGTGATGCCACCAAAATTCAAATTTGATCTGTGTTTTGTGGTAATAAGCATTGTGTATAAGTTTCATAACATTTGGTTGAGGCAAACTTAAGTTAGAGAAGGGAAACCAATTTTGGGACGTACATGTACGTACAGACGTACAAGGGTAAAACATAATACCCCTTCCGCTAAGGTGGGGGTATAAAAAATGCCTTGTTGATGATCATCATATCTGAGCTCTGACTGTTAATAATTGAAATTTGTGCAGTTCTTGAACTAATGACAATGAGGTCAAGGACAACAGACATATACTATGTAAAAGTATGCATACAAGACAATAAAGCATCTGAATACAAAATATTGATATCCAGCTATTCTAGTTTAACTTCTTAAGCAAAAACATTACAGCAATGTGAATGAGTATACATGTACACTTCCCTAAGTGTCTAAAAGTCTCCATCAAAGGAACTCACTTCTCCAAAAGAATGAGCCATGCCTACAAGGATACATCATAACATATATAACAAGAGTGCACACGCTGAAATGTCTCGCCTTCTTTACTAATCATTGATGTTATGTTGATAGTCCTAAATATAAAGCTTTATTACAACTGTCACATAAACTTAACATTAACCAAGTAAACTAAACATTGACCAATGAACCATGAAAATGAGGTCAAGGTCAGATAAACCATGCTAGGTAGGCATGTACAGCTAACAATTCTTCCTTACAACAAATATAGTTGACCTATTGCTTATAGTTTAAGAAAAACAGACCAAAACACAAAAACTTAACACTGAGCAATGAACCTTGAAAATGAGGTCAAGGTCAAATAAAACCTGCGTGACTGACATATAGATCATAAAATATTTCCATACACCAACTATAGTTGAACTATTGCATATAGTATTAGAAAAAAAGACCAAAACTCAAAAACTTAACTTTGACCACTGAACCATGAAGATGAGTTCAAGGTCAGATGACACCTGCCAGCTAGACATGTACACCTTCCAATCATTCCATACACCAAATATAGTAGACCTATTGCATACAGTATAAGAAAAACAGACCAAAACACAAAAACTTAACTATAACCACTAAACCATGAAAATGAGGTCAAGGTCAGATGACACCTGCCAGTTGGACATGTACACCTTACAGTCCTTCCATACACCGAATATACTAGACCTATTGCTTATAGTATCTGAGATATGGACTTGACCACAAAAACTTAAACCTTGTTCACTGATCCATAAAATGAGGTCGAGGTCAAGTGAAAACTGTCTGACGGGCATGAGGACCTTGCAAGGTACACACATACCAAATATAGTTATCCTATTACTTATTTTATAATAAGAGAGAATTTAACATTACAAAAAATCTTAACTTTTTTTCAAGTAGTCACTGAACCATGAAAATGAGGTCAAGGAGGAAGCAGGACAAATCGCCCCACTGGAAAATCGCCCCACACCTAATCGCCCCACTTTTTCACCAACTCGCCCCACTTTTAAAAAAATCGCCCCAACTGGTTTACCAACTCGCCCCACTTTTTAAAAAATCGCCCCACTTTTGAAAAGGGTTAAATCCCGTTAATATTACTCCTGCCAACTCGCCCCACTTAACGTACAACGTAAAGGTAAACCCTTTTATTTTAAGACTTAAAATAGTAAATTTCTGTGACAAATTATCCCCAGGATAAAATATCACAGAGGAAGAAATAAACCGTTACAATATAATGTTATTGAGAATAAGAAATCTACATAAAAATAAGCAGATTGCTATAATTGCCAATGAGACAAGTATCCATCAGAAACCAATATGATAACATTTAAATTCCAATTTATATTAAGCACTCCTAATGTAGTTGAATGTTAAAATGTCATGCAGGAAAAAAACGTCACATAAATGCTGATGCTACCTTCTTTCTGTTTTATTTCAACCAAAAGAAAAGAACCAAAAAAACAGATGCATTTCTAACGTTTTCATAAGAGGACAGAATTGGAAGGCCTACACTCATTACAGTTTAATCATTTTATTCATAAGTGGGGCTAGTTGGTAGCCATTAATTCTATTCATACTTTTATTTATCAGTTGGGTACGTTGGCAGACATAAATTCAACGGTATTACTTCCTTTTTCATAAGTGTAGAGAGTTGGCATGACTCAATATTAGGATTTTCCTATTTTTCATAAGTGGGGCGAGTTGGGATAACTCAATTCATCAGAATTTTTCTATTTTTCACAAGTGGGGCGAGTTGACATTCACGTCACCGAAATACTGGTACTCACTTCTTACTGCTTTATTTAAACAAAAAGAAAAGAAAAACAAAAACAAAAAGAAAAGAATTACAAAAGATGTTTATCTAAGGTTTTCATAGGTATTGATTTTATTTATAAGTGGCAGGAACATATACAACGGGATAGCATCTTTTTCCATAAGTGGGGCGAGTTGGCATTACTAAATTCATCGTGGTTTATCTATTTGTCATGAGTGGGGCGAGTTGGCAGACCTTATTTCAGCGGGATTTTAACCCTTTACATGAGTGGGGCATGTTATCCAACCTATTTTCAATGGGATTTTACCCTTTTCATAAGTGGGGCGAGTTGGTAAACAAGAGTGGGGCGATTTTTTTAAAAGTGGGGCGAGTTGGTGAAAAAGTGGGGCGATTAGGTGTGGGGCGATTTGCCAGTGGGGCGATTTGTCATGGATTCGGTCAAGGACATTGGACATGTGACTGACGGAAACTTCGTAGCATGAGGTATCCTATACAAAGTATCAAGCATCCAGATCTTCCACCTTCTAAAATATAAAGCTTTTAAGTAGTTAGCTAATGCCGCCGCCGGATCAATATCCCTATGTCGAGTTTTCTGTGACAAAAGTCGCAGGCTCGACAAAAATTAAACATACATTTAATTTGATTAAAACGCTTTCGAGATGCGAAGGCCATAATTCCACGTCGTCCATTGGATGTGTCGGCCATACCGCCAAATCGTCCATACCTTGTAAAGACGTATCGTCCATACTTTAAGTATTTTTTCCATTGGTGTTATAACATAAAATATAATAATACAAGAAGTATTATTTCATAGTTATAACATAAATAAGATTTTGTAGTATTTATTATGTACAAATGTACAAGTTTGCAGCTTTGAAAGAGTCAGTATACATGTAGATGTCAACTAAATATTTATTTTTACTTCTGTACATCTGCTGTTCAACAAGACAAGTAGACGCATAGAAGACTGGTTTTAGGTTAATGCTATTGATAATTCATTCTTTGAAAATTGATTTACAGCTTTTCAGATAGAGAGTAGAAACTAAAGAGCATATCATTCCATCTGTGCAGTACTGCGTACCATATTTTATTCTCGTTAGAACAAGAATTTCTTGACCCAATATATTTGTCACTGCTGAGTTCCAGCATTGGTGCTGTAGTTTTTATAGTGATCTCGTTTTGTATTTCCTTTACAATTTCTTGACAAAAGCATAATTAGTACTTAAATTCATCAAAGAAATGATAATAAGCAATTAACAATCTTTTTAAATTTTATAATTGATCATTATGTGATTACTGCAAATGATGGATGATGCGTCTTCACATAGTATGGACGATGTTGTCCTATGGCGATACATCTTTTCAAGGTATGGACGATACCTCCTATGGACGACGTGGCAGTATGGACATCGCATCCTGCATCAATTAAAACTGGATGTTTTTTGTACTTGTACTTGTACAAGTAGTGAAACCTTTAGCTCACAAGTGCATGTACATTTTTGTTATAAAACAAAGTTCAGATCAACATGTATATATAAATGATTTATATTCTTGACTGGTTCAAATCAGAGATAATTACCTTTGCCAACCTTGCCCTTTTGATGAGGTCATTTAGTTTCCGTAAAGCTGCATTTTTTGGTAGGCTCTGTAAATCATTAAACAGGTCTTGTTCTTCAAGTTCAAATAATTTCCTATTCATATCGAAGTGTAAAGGATTGTCCCAGAAAGAACCTATGTATACTCTTGCAACTTCAGGTGTGTTCAAAACTTTTCCAAGGGACCACATTAATGCACCATAAACTCTCATCAATTGTTGATGATCCACCATGTCTGCTTTGTTCAAAATTATTCTGATTTTGTCATCATATCCCTTGACTGCATCAATTGCTCTTTTGAATTCGTCTGAAATATCCAATTTGTGTGCATCGAAAAGAAGCAATATTCTGTCCACTCTTTCTGCAAACCATTCCAACACACCAGCAAAATCATATCCACGGTCAAGCCTCTGTTTTTCTCCAGACAAAATACCTGGGGTGTCTACAATTGTTAAACTATCAACAACTGGATTGTTTAATGTTGAACACTGAAATCGATTTAGAAATGCATTTCCAAATTTTGTGAGTGGTTTGAATTGCTTTTTACTATCAACAACAAGGGCGTTACCAGGAACAATTCCATCTTGATCTCCACTCATAACGGCTATGAACCGATCTGTTGTCGGCTCTGGACCTATTCGTATTCCAGGAAAATCTTGCTCTAGGAGGTATCTTATAAAGGTTGTCTTGCCAGTTGAGTATTGGCCGATGAGCAGTATCATTGGTTTAGCGTCAAAATCTGGATCATCAAGTTGGGGGGAGTGGAAGTCATGAAACTTATAATGTTCCTCTAAAGGTAATAGTTTTGTTCTGTAAATAGATTTTAGGCCATCGGCAACAGTATCGAACACCTCCGGTTCTTTCCGCTTGTTATTCCCGTCAAGCCACCTCTTCATCTTGAAATACAAAATAACTTTCACTTCTGAAGTCGGTTTATTTCAGACGTGACAAATACTGCGGAAGTGAATATCATTATGTGCGCTTGCTCAATTCATAATCCGGAAATAAACATTTCCCGCAATAAAACGGATGCTCTTGGGTTTTATCTTATCCTATGCGGGTAAAAAAGCAGAGGAGTTCCGACTATTTGTTTACGTCATTCAATGTTTTGGTTTCTTTCAGCTGAGACACACAAGACGACATTGTACGATTGTACAGTTTAGAAGAAAACAAATAACTCAAAACATACGCTTCATCAATTATTTCAATCGGTAAACAATGTTCTGAAAGTTCAATTACAAATCGTACCCGTGTTAGCATAAATAACAATGAGCTCATAATCATGTTTTATGTCATTATTTACATATAGAATAAGCACCTGATGATAAGTGTATGATCTCATCATAAAATTTTCTAAAACAAAATGAAAATAAAAAGTTAAAATTTTAGGTCAATGTTTGATGCTTGTTTAAATTAATTTTTCAAAAAGACTTACTAGATAAGATAATCTACCTTATCTTTTTCCGAAACGTTTTGGCAGTAGCAAGTCATTTGGGGTAACACGAATGACCGAATAACACTGTTATTATCCAAATAACACTTGTAATGACCGAATAACACTTGAAATTTTAATATTAGCACATATTGGTGACCTTTAAACATTGATTATTAAATAATATTAAATTATATGTGTATTTTATAACTTAAAAATGATTAACAGAAAGCAGGTAAGTTCATAAAGATCGTTTTAAATTTAGAATGTTCATCCAACACGGCGACCATTGTGATTTCCTTGGTTGCCATGTTGGATGAACACACTCTATTTAAAATAATCTTTATGAACTTCCCTGCTTTCTGTAAATCATTTTTATACGACCGCAAAAATTTTTTGCTGTCGTATATTGGTATGACATTGGCGTCGTTGTCGCATCGTCGTCCGAAGACACATTGGTTTTCGCACTCTAACTTTAGTTTAAGTGAATGGATCTCTATGAAACTTTTACCATAAGGTTCAATACCACAAAAGGAAGGTTGGAATTGATTTTGGGGGTAATTGCCTCAAAATATTAGGAATTAGGGGGCAAAAAACAAGCATTTTTCTAGTTTCATGACAATTACTTGTGTGTAAGTGTATGGATCTTTCTGAAATTGTTCCATATCACAAAGGGAAAGCTGGAATTGAGTTTGGGGGTAATTTCCCAAAACGTTAAGGAATTAGGGGCCAAAAATAAGCATTTTTCTAGTTTCCAGACAATAACTTGTGTTCAAGTGTATGGATCTCTCTGAAATTGTACCACAAGGTTCCATATCACACAGGGAATGCTGGGATTGATTTTGGGGGTAATTGCCTCAAAATATTAGGCTTTAGGGGCCCAAAAAAGGGGCAAAAAACAAGCATTTTTCTAGTTTCATGACAAAAACTTGTGTGTAAGTGTATGGATCTTTCTGAAATTGTACTACAAGGTTCCATATCACAAAGGGAAAGCTGGAATTGAGTTTGGGGGTAGTTGCCTTAAACGTTTAGGAATAAGGGGCCAAAAAGGTGCCAAAAATAAGCATTTTTCTAGTTTCCAGGCAATAACTTGTGTTCAAGTGTATGGATCTCTCTGAAATTGTACTGCAAGGTACCATACCACAAAGGGAAGGCTGGGATTGAGTTTGGGGGTGGTGAATCATAAGGGGGTTCAAAAAATTTGGGGGGGGGGGATTGTTTTTTCTTTAAAATTTTCCATTTTAAATTGGTTATTTCTGATTTATATATAAAAGCAAATAATAATGATATGGTTTGAATAGGTAAATTAAAATTTTTTAAGTTCTTCGACCACATTCATTCTGTGTCAGAAACCTGTGCTGTGTCAAACATTTAATCACAATCCAAATTCAGTGCTGTATCAAGCTTGAATGTTTTGTCCATACTTGCCCCAACTGTTCAGGGTTCGACCTCTGGGGTCGTATCAAGCTGCGCCCAGCAGAGCATTTTATTAAGTTATAAAATACAATAATAATATACTATTATTTATTAATTAATGTTTAAAAGTCACCAATATGTGCTAATATTAAAATTTCAAGTGTTATTCGGTCATTACAAGTGTTATTCTGTTAATAACAGTGTTATTCGGTCATTCGTTGTACCGAGTCATTTGTACCTTTACCACTTTGTACCCAAAATTACTATTTCGTACCCATGATCAAAACCATTTCTATATATGGAAATGCCTGTACTAATTTAGGAATATGACAGTTGTTTTCCATTCGTTTGACATTTTGATTTTGCTATTTGATAATAAGGGACTTTCCGTTTTGAATTTTCCTTGTAGTTTTGTTATTTTTGTAATTCTTTCTTTTTTTTCATACACTATGGGACAACTGCATTAACAATTTCCTACCTCATAGACTTAAGTACATGTGTACATGTACTATTTCGTATCATACATATATTTGTAAATTATTGAAATTTTGTCCCAACATTGGCATGATCGGTATTGGAGATTTTGTAAAACAAAAATGTATAATTCAAGAAAGGAAAGATCCTTCATACTGCCTCATTATAAGTTTTAAAATGTTTAATATTTAATGCATACTATTCCATTCAACAATATATTTATGATTTTTTTTTAATAGATACATGTACATGTAGGTAAAATGTGTTATAAAACCTTTTGAGATAATTTTGATTTAAAAAAAAAAAAATATAACATAAAAAAAATGCTTCCAGCAGTAGAAAATTTCCAAAGAACTATTTTTTTAATTTAAGCAATACATGGAAACTTTAATAGGTTTAATAACACTTTGTTTGCTTGCAGGGTTTATCCTTAACTAATTTTTCAACTCTAAAAATATGAGTTTAATTAAACTAACAAAAAATAATGTCTGCAACTGTTTTCAAATCACTCTTTAATCACTCAAGAAAAAAACCATCATATATAGTTACCAACCTCTGCAATGACAAATCATGTCATGACATGTCAAAAAGCATGTGAAAACGTGTGACATCGATTCAGACTTTTTAATATGAACATTATACAAATTTTTATACGACCGCAAACAAATTTTTGTGGTCGTATATTGGTATGACGTTGGCGTCGTCTTCCGAAGACACATTAGTTTTCGCACTCTAACTTTAGTTTAAGTGAATGGATCTCAATGAAACTTTACCGTAAGGTTCAATACCACAAAAGGAAGGTGGGGATTGATTTTGGGGGTTATGGTACCAACAGTTAAGGAATTAGGGGCCAAAAATAAGCATTTTTGTAACTTCCAGACATAACTTGTGTGTTAGTGTATGGATCTCTCTGACATTGTATCACAAGGCTCCATATCACAAAGGGAATGCTGGGATTGATTTTGGGGGTAATTGCCTCCAAATTTTAGAAATTAGGGGCAAAAAACAAGCATTTTTCTAGTTTCCAGACAATAACTTGTGTTCAAGTGTATGGATCTCTCTGAAATTGAGGTACCATACCACAAAGGGAAGGCTGGGATTAATTTTGGGGGTAATTCCCTCAAAATTTTTGGAATTAGGGGCCAAAAAGGGGCAAAAAAAAACAAGCATTTTTCTAGTTTCAGGACAATAACTTGTGTGTAAGTGTATGGATCTTTATGAAATTGTACTGCAAGGTTCTATATCACAAAGTGAAAGCTGGGTTTGAGTTTGGGGGTAATTGCCCTAATCGTTTAGGAATTTGGGGCCTAAAAGGGGCCAAAAAACCAGCATTTATCTAGTTTCCAGACAATAACTTGTGTTCAAGTGTATGGATCTCTCTGAAATTGTACTGCAAGGTACCATACCACAAATGGAAGGCTTGGATTGAGTTTGGGGGTGATGAATCATAAGGGGGTTCAAAAAATTTGGGGGGGGGATTTTTTTCCTTTTTTTCCTTTTTTTTTCTTTAAAATTTTCCATTTTAAATTGGTTATTTCTGATTTATATATAAAAGCAAATAATAATGATATGGTTTGAATATGTAAATTAAAAATTTTAAAGTACTTAGACCACATTCATTCTTTGTCAGAAACCTATGCTGTGTCAAATATTTAATCACAATCTAAATTCAGTGCTGTATCAAGCTTGAATGTTGTGTCCATACTTGCCCCAACTGTTCAGGGTTCAACCTCTGCGGTCGTATCAAGCTGCGCCCAACGGAGCATTTTATTCATAATGTACTCAACATGAAAAGGGTATTACTTAACAAATAGTTGTATTTGTCATAAAGTGAGCATCTGCTATGAAATATGAGGACACAAGACTATTTCTAAGAGATAATAGAAATAGAAACAGTATACATGGTATAAGAGTATAAAGCTGGTATGGTAAACTCTAAAGAAAGATTTGTTTTCACTGATAAATATCCATTAACCCAAAATCCCTCAACTACTAAGAACTTGCTGTGCAACTTCAATGGAATTTATTTGTTTATCATTCTCGTGTAGGAATTTCCTCAATTACTTTCATACAAGTATATAAAAACAAAAAGGGCCCAAATGTCACAGCCAAAACAGTTTAAAAATCAAGTTTGCCTTATGGAGTGGTAACCCCAGTCATTCAAAATGAAGCCCAATAATTTAATTTTATGAACTGTAAATATTCAAATAAAATATTTAGATAGTTTTTCATTGACAAAATTAAAGTTGGAGTTATTTCCCTTGGAAGGCAAACACTATAATAATAAGGAGATTTCGTATGATTGCAAATGAGGCAACATTCGAGCAGAGATCAAATGACTGGATATAAACCTTTTTTAGTCACTTAGTATGGCCTTGAGAAAACCCATACCATGATAATGATATAGTCGGCTATAAAAGGCCTGGATATGAAAAATGTGAAAACATTCAAACGAGAAAACTAACAGCCTAATTTATAACAATACAATTTACAAAAAACAAATATGACAGACATAAACAAAATACAACCACTAAATTACAGGCTCCTGGCTTAGGACAGGCACAATATTATTACAGCATATATGGTGGGGTAAAACATGTATATAAGCCAGGGTTCTCTTTAACCTGCATGATGGTGCCCCGCCATGGTTAAATTATCTT